ATACTGGACTGCTTCAAGATCGGAAGCGCGGGGGGCGCGGGCGGCGGCCCCGGCGGGCCGGAGCCCCCGGACGCCGGCCCCAAGGGGCTGTACGACGTGGCGGAAGCGGAGGAGCACTTCCCCGCGCCCGCGCGCCCGCGCTCGCCGTCGCCCATCAGCACGCTGAGCCAGCGCGCGGGCTCCGCCAGCCGCACGGACGACGACGTGCCGTCGCTGCACTCGGAGCCCGCGGCGCGCAGCAGCTCCTCGCAGGGCTCGCTCATGGAGCAGATCAGCAGTGTGGTGACCCGCTTCACCGCCAACATCAGCGAGCTCAACTCCATGATGCTGTCCACCACGGCCCCCGGCCCCGGCGTGGGCGCCCCGCTCTGCTCGTCGTACCTGATCCCCAAAGAGATCCAGCTGCCCACAACCATGACGACGTTCGCCGAAATCCAGCCGCTGCCCGCCATCGAGGTCACGGGCGGCGCGCAGCCCGCGGCGGCGGCCCCGCCGGCTGGGGGCGCTGCTCGGGAGACGCCGACGGCCGGGCCGGAAGCTGCTGCCGGCAAGCCGGACCTGGAAGAGCTGGTGGCTCTCACCCCGCCGTCCCCCTTCAGAGACTCGGTGGACTCGGGGAGTACAACCCCCAACTCGCCAGTGTCGGAGTCGGCCCTCTGTATCCCTTCGTCTCCCAAATATGACACACTTATCATAAGAGATTACACTCAGAGCTCCTCGTCGTTGTGAATGTCATTGGAAACCACGCTGGGTTCCGCCAAGGGAGCCAAGACCTCCCGTGTTCACGCAGACACAGTGACAAGCATAGTCGCCTGGTTAAGACCCGAGGTGGAAGATGCCAAGTACACCCGTAATGGAAACACGAGATTAATAGTGCTATTTAACATCAACCGACGAAGACACCGACCACAAATCCTTTGGCAGATTTTCTTCTAGTGGCCTTAGAAAACATGGGCTTTTAAGAAACACTGCTTATATTTTTGAGGGCTGACAAGAGTCTGTTGAACCAGTTCCATACCAAGTGCTTTGCTCTAGGGAAGCAATGAGTGTGTAACAGCATAATGGAGGGGGAAAAGCATAGTTATTAAGCAACTGTACAAAGTTTGTTTACTTTAATTCTTTTCCCAGAAGATTCTTTGATTCACCAAACATGAATGTACATTTTCTAACAAACTCAAAATCTGGGACCAAAAAAAACATCAACCTTTCGCTCTCTTTTTTTGTTTTTTGGGTTTTTTTTCCGTTTTTTTTTTTTTTTTTTTTTCTGTCCTTTAAAGACTTTGAAAAGCAGTAACTTGGGCCCAGTATTTACTGAGGCATTGTTGTGAGTGTGTCCCATGCATAACACACAACTGGATAATGAGTGCTGCGCTGATGTGTATAAGGCTTTTACCAGAGACATTCCAATTTGGTTTTGAAATCCTCTTTGAAAAGCCTGCATCCGGGAGTCCACCTAGTTATTTCAATTCACCTCCATTAACCAAGAAAACCAATGGAAGATTTCTTGACTATTTCACCATGTTGCCAATCAATACTGGAGTAGCAAAAAAATATTTTCTGGAATACTGTTTTGTAATTCCCTCACTGGGGTACCGTTGTGTAGCTGGAAATTCTCTTTATAATAATAATAATTCCTGAGCTCCAGCTTGGCTATCACTTTCATGAAATGTGGCCACTCCTCCTTATGAATGCTGTTCCATTAGCATTGCCAGCTAAAATATTAAAATATGCATTTGGGCTTCTCCATTCCTTTCTTTTGAGAACCTGATGCACAAAGAGCTCCTCTGTTCTTTCCAAGTCCCACCACTGGAAGAATGGTCTATAGACCCAGCGAAGACAGCGACATGATTAGAGGGACTGCTGTTCAAAAAGTTAACACAATCTTAATACGCTGGAAATTTTAAACTGTGTCAAGTCGGCTTAGCAGAGATTTAGCTATGCCAGTGAGCAGTGATTTTAACTTTTTTTGGCTGCTTAAAGAGGGCAGCTATGAACTATGACAAATGTAGATTTTTCAAAGCAATACAGAATATTAAAACAGAGGAACCTTAATGAATATAAACCACACAGTCTCTTAGCCATTCCAAAAAGAGGCAAAGCAATTATTAGTATTTCCTTTTTAAAATAATTATTAATATGATTTTGTGCACTTCATACTGTCACTTTTTAAATACTGCAGAAAAGAGATTTAAAGATATACTAGAAATACATGTGCTTTAATAGGCTCATATAGGTAGAATTCATAGCTCAAGACCTGCATCCACAGTCATCTCTTTCTTCTTCTCATTACAATTGTCCTCAGGTGCCAAATGTTTTTTTGTGTTGTTTTGTTTTGGTTTGGTTTCGTTTCGTTTCGTTTCATTTTAAATTTTAAAATAAAGATAGTAATAAAAGGAGGAGGTGTCCTATAAATTTAAAGTTCAGTTGATCCAGCCTTATACTAAAGCTAGCCTTATGAAAAAGATTTGCTGTGAGGCAGAAGTATATTTTTAGCAGAAAGAAAAATAAATGAAACCTTTTTCCTTGAGCTCAATATCCTTATATTGGCATGTATTTTTTTATTTCATATCTACTTTAAAAAAGGAATTGAGAAATGGAAATATATCCATTGGTGTAATTTATCATGCCCCACTTTTAAAAGTTATAGGAAATATACTTCTTGATTTTCCTTTACTTATATCTGTTCTTATATTAAATTTAAAATCAAATCTCCCAGTATAAAATGTTAAAAGCTGATATTAGTTTACTAAAATATAAACTTGAAAATCAAACTTACCATACCACATTTGAAAATATCATCAGAGCACCCTGAACCCACATATTATAATGAGACTCTTGAAGCAGAGTGAATTTAGCTAAGCTTTATAGTTTCATTGACTGTGAACTCTGCCTCTACTTAAAAAACAAATGTAAATATTTTGATTAACACCCTTCAATCCTCATGAAAAGGGTGGCATTCACCTGAGGATTACCATTTTGATTTCTTAAACATTGAAACCTTTCCAAATATACTCAACTAAGTTTTAAATTCGTTTCCCATGACTTTAGGTTGATTTCCATTTTATTCTCAAGTGTAAGTTTCACCGTGTTGACCAACAGAATATTTTTAAAAAACTTTCTCCATGATCAAATTTCTCTTCTAAATTTTTAGTAACATATTTCTTTAAAAAAATACACCACTTTATGAGAAAATTCATCAGAAATTAAAATGTAATACAAATAAATTGCTGTCTGATAATGCCATATGAAATTATAATCAACTGTAATAAGAAAAATATTCATCCAATTAGAGGAGAACAAGGTGTACTTTTCTCTGTGTTTTTATGCCCTTTGCCCTTCATTCAATACATTCTATAATGCATAATATTAGTAATGCACTTTTGGGATCTTTTATTTTGGAATGATGCTAACTCTGTCTCTTTGCCAATTCTAATACCAGGTTCCAAGTAATAAATCTACAAGGAAAACTGAATATTCATTCTAGGGCTAGGATATGAACTTCGCAATTCATTTGGGTACCTATTTTCATTGAATTTCCTTGAAAACAGTCTGTTCCTGGTGCCCAGTGATCACTCAGTTGGACCAGCATGACTAAAAGGAAGGGGAAAAGACTGAAATGCTGAGATTCAGAAAAGTGACCCTAAAGGACAGTTTGGTCCAAGGATGAAAAGAAGAAGACCTACTTTGATCGAGTTATATGGACCATCTAAGGAGTCCACTCACTCTTCTGTTCTGGGAGAGGAGTAGGGGCAGCCTGAGAAGACCCTATGTGGATTGGGAAGAAGCTTCTCTCTGGGTTAGGGGTGGGGAGCAGAAGGGAGTACGCAAAGGAAAACCATATGAGATTTGACTGAAGTAAAGAAAAACAGTAAATCCCCGAATGTACTAATCCTTGTTAGTAAAAGTCTTTCCCAAACTTCTGCTGTTACCAGCAAGTGATCAGGAAGACTAGGAGCTATTTCTGACTGTGAATGAATTGTGTAATGGCTCTGCTGCAGTTCTGTGACTTCCAAACCAGGAATTAACCACTTTTTAAGAAAAAACAAAAAACAAAAAAACAAACAAACAAAAAAAAAAAACCATTTCCTATGCTAGTCTCCCAGCAAAATGTACATGTTTTGGAGACTTCAAAAGTATTATCTGAGTTCACATTTAGCCACAGCTTATTAATAACCCTCAAGCTGTCAGAATCTCTATAGTTACCATTTACAATTTTATACTGTGAAAAAAATACAGATCAGTGAAAAACATAAAGATAAATTGAAATTCACTTTTAAGAGGGTCTGAGGCCTGGGAGATTCTCTACTATCTGTTGAAGAGTGAGGCATGTATAAAATAGTTGGCTGAATTTCACTGATCTTCCCAATGTGAACAAATATACTATGTATATTGTGTGTATTTCTAGAATTCAATGGCAGCTGCTGGTGGTGTTGTAATTAGAAATCTATATAGAATATAGATGTTTTAGAGAGATGGTGCCAATCCTAAAAGATTTGTGTGGGCTACAAGTGCTTGTACTTACTTTTTTCTGCACTTTAACAGATTTGGTTTTAAAATTGTGTGCGCGTATCTGTTCTTTTTCTGTTGTTGCAGCTTGTACTATTAAAACAATAGAGAATGTTAAATTATTTTGATGTGAATTGCAAATGATTTTTTTCATAAAGTTTAACATTTTTATCAGCATTGTTTTGCTTTGTACTTGTATAAATGTGTTTTATTTTAGCCTTCAAAAGTACACTTGCCTGTTTCTCAGTTGTCTAAATCATGTTATAGTTGGTGTTTGTGAAGTCAGTTACTTTTTGAAAAATATTAAAAAAGAAACTATGGTATGACTTTAAGATTCTTCCCCTTAAATGTTTAGAATGTTGTCTTAATAGTGTTTTCTAAGACCCAAAGAGCCATACTATTAATTAATCTTAAATTCTGAATGATATATACATTCAAATTATGGGATTGACAAAGTAGCCTATGGACAATAGATTAAATTAAAAATGTAAACCAACCATAAACCAACCCAAGATGCTGTCCTCAAAGACATCTACAAACACCTTTTAAGACAAATATTTTTTTAAAAAAACAATGAAGCATGTAGGGATTATACCTTGCTTTTGTGTCTGGAAATACAAATACGAATTATAGTGCCACAATTATCTGTGTTGGTAGAGGTTACATCATAAAAATAATATAGATTATGTGTGTTTATGTATCTGTGAATGTCTGGATGTATATACAAACAACACACATCTGTGTAGATTTTTTCCTTTTGAGTCCATCTGTGTATGTGTTTCTGTGTGTATGTTTGTTTGTGTGCGCATGTATGGGCATATCTGTATAATTTTACCAGAAAAAAAAATTACTTGTGAAATCACTTTCTACTTTGATGGATTCTTAAGCAAATTTACACTCCTTGAACACAAATTATCTGAAACCTAAAAGCATGATGTGTGGAAGAGAAAAACAATGTAGACTTTAAAACATAGCTTCTCTCTGCTTCTCTACATTGTATTATTTATACACATATAATATGTATATACATATATTCTTATACATATGGAAATTGATACAAAATATGTTTGATCTTAAAAAAGAAAACCATTTTGTGTGCTTTGTCAGACTCTCCTGCTTCAGTGTCTTCTATTGTGAAGTAATACAATTGGGCATATATTTATATAAACTTAAGGCTAAGGTGAGATGACTGAGGTGAGATATCTGGACCACATACAGCAAATCATTTTCTAAAGATTAAATGAGTCTTGTAAGACTCCATAGACTCATGGTAGGACAGTCAAAACCAGCTGATGTGATAGAAATGGCAGTGAATTAAAAAATCCATTACCCTGACCCATATAACTTGGAAAAATTACCTTGAGTTCTCTATAACTCAGTTCCTCTTTCTTTAAGTGCAGAGATGAATTACAATAATCTGTGAGATTTCTTTCATATCCAGCATTTCTGGTACATGACAAATGCTCAATAGATAATAGTTATTATTAGTGGCAATATAGCATTTATAATACAGTTAATATTCATCTTAAATATATGGAATATTACTATAAAAAATTATTGTCCCACTTAAAGTATATATCACTGTGGGGGGGGGCGGTTGGGGGGGCTGGTAGCCTGTTGAGGTTTGAACTCATGCAACCTTGGCACTGTCCATTTAGGATGACTTAGCAAATTGATCTTAAACACCACAGAAAGAATGCTTTTCTTCTGTTATAATCTATGCTGAACACTGGCCAATTTTTTGGTTATACTGTACATGAGTGATCAGTTTTTAAAAACAATTCTCAATCATTTACTTTTTAGTGTAGTTAGCTAGATACATAGGTAGATAAATAGATTATATTAATGAAATTATCTCCTTAGAAACAGTATAGTATTTACTTTTTTCTCAAAGTATTTTGTAATTCAGAATCAGCTACTAAATTTCACCCTGTTTATTATTTTTAAGAAGTATTTTGGAAGATAAATTCTGTGAAGAAAACCTGGAGACTCAGCTTATATGGCCATTCTTAGAGTCCTAAACAAAAAGTATTATAGAAAAACTTAACCTCCACATAAACGAATAGTTTAAATTAACTTTTACTCCAAACCAAGAGCATTTATTTTTGCCATGACATATGAGTGTTTTTGAGGTTTATGACCCATGTAAACATTTATATAAACAGGCTAGTCAATGTGGTATAAATATATATATACATATATATATACACACACACATATATATCAGACACATTTGGCTTATTTACATATAACTTGTATCTTTACCAGTTGTCACAAAATAAAGCTTTACATAACTATCATGCTTCTATAACAGGAAAAATGCTAAATAATAAATTATATGATATGTCTATGAAAATGACATAATGCAGTAAATTGGCTTTCTGAACTGCTAAATAGTAATAGGTGTTTCATAAAATAAAAGATTTTAGAGTTTTAAAGGTTTGGAAAACCTAATAGCTCTAAGTTAAATGGATACTTTTCCTTAAGAACTTTAAATATGCTAATGTATATTAACTCTAGAATTTTATTTTTTATGAATAGTCTCCTCTGAGTCCAGCTTCATAGAATGAATTTTGAAAATGCTGATATAAAATTTATAATTTGTACACACTTTCTTCTTTCAGTCTTGAAAACTAATTGCTCTTTCCATAATTATCTCCTAAGACATTTAGAGAAGAAAATCAGGATTGATAGTGTCACCTTCAGAGACATTTTACTGAGCCATGGGAAGTCTTAATTTTATTTTCAACTTTCCTCCTATTTGCTGATTTCTCAGGGTTCTTCCAGCACATTAACTTTACTCTTAGGGATCAAGCTGAAGATTTTCTTTTCCCTTTTTTTTTTCTTTCTTTTTTGTTTTTGTTTTCACCAGACATGTTGGATGTCTCCAACAGCTTTGGATGAAGCAATAGATGACACAGTAGCATTAGGAGATGTGAAGTAGCCAGTGGACTCTGTGCCAGGAGCATTAGAAGACTATAAGAGTGTTATCCAGAAGTCATTTTAGAAAAATTTTTCAAGTTTTTTTTTCCAATTTACCTAAAAGCCAAGTTACATAGGCATATCTATTACATATACTATATTAATGCATTTCTACTCTGACATGTTCAAATAATGATTTGTACCTTTTGCTTCCCTGTGTATTGTGGTACTGTCACATACTTGTCTCTGAAGACCCCAAATCACATCATGAACCCTAGTATATTCACCTCACCCTACACTCCAAGTAGATATTAAAAACTCTAAATGTATACAGAGAGAAAAGTTCTTATTCTGGGAGGCCAGTGCCCACCCTCATAATCTAGGACAAATCAGCAGCAAAATTAGGTCAGTAAGAGAGAAGCCAGTAGAAATGCTTTCTTGCTCTTTGCATAGTAACAAAGGCCCCAAATTCAATTCCTAAGAAATAAGGGGCTGAGACAGAGCCATTACAAATGGACAAAGTTGGAATGAAAGATACAATAAAAATACAAGTAACGATGGCTAGGCCAACAAACAAAAGCCCAAATAAATTAAAGCTGAGGCCTAAAGAAAAATAATGTAATTGTGTTACTGAATGACATAGCACCTTCAGTTAACACAATTCTTGCATATGCAAAACATTGAGACAGACAAATGTTAAATAAAAAAAAGGTGGGTGTAGGAATATTAATGTCCAACAAGAAATAATTCAAAGTGAAATTAATATAGAGGGTCAAAAGGGATATTTTGAATTGGTAAGAACCTACTCAGAATATAGAACAGTCCTAAACCTATGTGTACTTAGCAATATGGTTTCAGAACATATAAAGCAAAGACTAATAGAAATATCCACACACAAAAATTCCACAATAACAACCTTTTTAATATACTGAACTCACAAATACATCAAGAAGCCAAAAGAAAAAAAATGAAATAAAATTTAGATGAATCAAGTAACAAATACCATGAATAATCAAACTTATTTAGAGCTTTGTTCTTTTCATTCTTTTCATCATCCATGAAACGTTTATAAACATTAATCTTGGATTTTACCACAAAGGAAATCTTAACAAATCCCCAAAAACAAAAATCATATAGTCTACATTCACTGACTAAAAAAATAAATTGTGAAATTAAAGAAAAAGATATGCAGAAGAAATATGTTCATTTGGGATCTTTTTTCTGAGATCTTTTTTTTAGTATGAAGAGGAAATCTTAACTGAAATTACACCCTACTTAGAAATGAACAATAGTAAAAACCTTGCATATTAACATCCGTAGAGCCACTAAAGAGTACTCCAAAGAAAATATTTTACACTAAATGTGTACATTAAAAAATAGACCGAGAGTAAATTAAACATTCAACTGAATATGTTGAAAAATAAGCAACAAGACAAAGAAAATACAAATAATTAATACTGATTAAGTCAGAATTAATATAAGAATGCAAATAAATAACAGAAAATTAAAAGTGATCATTAAAACCAAAGTCTTCTAATTTGAAAAGACCAATACTTTGACAAACGTGTCAAATTTAATCAAGTAAAGAGAGACAAACCACAATTAGTAGTAAGAAAGGAGTCAGAGCTACACATATAGAGAGTACATATAAGGAAACACTAGGTAAAACTTGATACTAATAAATCTGAAAATATAGGTGAATATTATGCTAGGAAAACATAAATTATCTAATTGAAACAAAAATAAATAGAAAATGCAGAAAAACTAAAAATGATAAAAGATCATGAAAGAATTTTTAAATGACTCTAAAAGGCATATACCTAAATATTTTACAGGTGTATTTGATTATGGAATATAAATATAGAACATGGAAAAATGTGGAAATATCTATAACTCATTTTATTAGGCTTTTATAACTCTGGAACACAAATCAGGCAAGGTGGGAAATAGTTATATAGGCTATTCTCATAAACATAGATTTTAAAATCCCAAATAAACTATACATCAAATTGTGAAATTTGATACACTAGTAATACACCATGATAAATATAGTTTATCGTATTTTTGTTCAATATTAGAAAATCCATTACCATAGTTTACTAGATTAACATATTAAGAGAAAAAATATAACCTATATAACAAGTATGATAAAAACATTTGATAAGTCAATGCCAAATCCTGATCAAAATAAAACAAAGTAGAGACTAGAAAGTTTCTTAAGATTAAAAAGAAATCTGCTAGAAACATATAGCAAACATGATATTGATAGAAAAACATTAGAATTCCCACTAAGTCAGGAATGAGAGATGTATGCCATTTATGCACAATTTCTAAAGTGACTATGAAATTTTTGCCTAAAACAGAACATTTCTGAGAATTAAAGTGTAAGCATTAATTATGTTAATTAACA